CCACCCACTCACCCTCCCAGTCACCTACACAACCACCCACCCACTCACCCTCTCAGTCACCTACACAACCACCCACCCACTCACCCTCCCAGTCACCTACACAACCAACCCACCCACTCACCCCTCCCAGTCACCTACACAACCTCCCACCCAATCATCCTCCCAGTCACCTACACAACCACCCACTCACCCTCCCAGTCACCTACACAACCACCCACACCACTCACCCTCCCAGTCACCTACACAACCATCCACTCACCCTCCCAGTCACCTACACAACCACCCACCCACCTACCCTCCCAGTCACCTACGCAACCACCCACCCACTCACACCTCTCATCAACCTACACAACCACCCACCCACTCACCCTCCCATCACCTACACAACCACCCACCCACTCACCCTCCCAGTCACCTACACAATCACCCACCCACTCACCCTCCCAGTCACCTACACAACCACCCACTCACCCTCCCAGTCACCTACACAACCACCCACCCACTCACCCTCCCAGTCACACCTACACAACCCACCACCTCACCCTCCAAGTCACCTACACAACCACCCACCCACTCACCCCCTCCCAGTCACATACACAACCACCCACCCACTCACCCTCCCAGTCACCTACACAACCACCCACTCACTCCTCCCAGTCACCTACACAACCACCCACCCACTCACCCCTCCAGTCACCTACACAACCACCCACTCACCCTCCCAGTCACCTACACAACCACCCCCCACTCACCCTCCCCAGTCACCTACACAACCACCCACCCACTACACCCTCTCAGTCACCTACACAACCACCCACCCACTCACCCTCCCAGTCACCTACACAACCACCCACCCACTCACCCTCTCAGTCACCTACACAACCACCCACCCACTCACCCTCCCAGTCAACTACACAACCACCCACCACGCCACCCACCCAAGCACACTTACCCCAAAAAAAGCTTTATGTATATAACCAACCAAACACTCGATTAAAGGGATAAAGGCAACACAATCAGCTTCTCTTCGCCCCTAAATGCCCATCGGAAACTTAAACAGTCGTTACCATATCAGCGAAGACGCTGATTGGCCGGTCTCGTGGCTTCTGCTTCCTTAATTTGCATGGTAATAACTCGACCAGGCAATTGGCTACACTGTCTTTGCCTTGGTTATTATTGCTGGCCTTTTTTTCCCCTCCTCTGTTAAAAGGCTTTTATTGGTCTTAATGTAAGGGTGAGGCGCAAAGGGGGAGGGAGGGAGGAGAGGGTGGTCTGGGGGGGGGAGGAGGAGGATTGGTAGAAGAGGGGGAAAGGGTGATTGAGGTGGATTTGGTGGTTGGAATGGTGTGTGGGTGAGGGTGTGTGGAAGACGATTGGTTGGAGAATTGTGAGAGATGGCGAATGGTAGTAATAATGGTATGGGGATAGTGGTGGGGAGGGGTGAAATGGTGAGGAAGGAATCGTGGAGGGAATGGTGAGGGAAGGGAATGGTAGAGGAGTGGGAATGAACAGAAAGGTGGAATGGTTTATTCTACAAGTTAATTCTGCAGGTTTATTTGTGCAAATGAGAATGTAACCGCTGCGTGTTTGTAGATCCTTCCGTCACGTTGTTGCGCAGTCTACCGCCCACTCCCAGCTTCCTTTCTCCTTTTCTCTATTTGTTCTTCTCTCAATTTCTCCATTCTCCTTATCTTCTATTTCTCCCTTTCTCCCCTTTCTTCTTTTTCAATCCTTATTTTCGCAATCTATGAACCTTCTTTTGGCCTCGGTTTTTTTTTTCACTGTTCCCATGAATCTCTGCTCGTTGCAGCACATCCCAGAACATTACAACACATCCCAGCACATTTCGGTATATATCAGCGCATCTCAGAACAACTCAGAATATCGCATTGCATCCCACGACCACTCCACACATCCCTGTACATCTTACAATCACTTCAGACATGGCTGCAATCCTCCCAGCACATCCCACGACCACTCCACACATCTTACAATCACTTCAGACATGGCTGCAGCCCTCCCAGCACATCCCACGACCACTCCACACATCTTACAATCACTTCAGACATGGCTGCAGCCCTCCCAGCACATCCCACGACCGCTCCACACATCCTGCGCTTCCCACCGACACATCAAACACATTAACTTGATCACCTCCTCCATGTATCCGCTTGTCAACAAAGTGTCTGCATTATTCCGGATCCACGACAGGGTAACAGGCGTTAAACGTCCCGTTTTCTGTGTTAAGATAACGCAGGGCATTCATCAGTTGTCTGCTCTAAGATAACGCAAGGGGTTATCAGTGTCTTATTAGCGATGATGTAAATGGCAGGTTATCAAGTAATGTTTATATCAAGGGAAAGGAGGGGAGGTGCCTTGATATCGAGGAAGTACCCTTCCTTAGATCAAACCTGGTTCACCCCTACGGATTTAGCGGTCTCAAATGAATGTAATACATAGCAGAATTTTATTTTGTGGGTGGAATTTCAAAGCTTTAGAGAGAGAGAGAGAGAAGAGAGAGAGAGAGAGAGAGAGAGAGAGAGAGAGAGAGAGAGAGAGAGCGGGGGGGAAACGAGATGTGTGTGTGAACATAGAATGTTCGGTTGTCTCTCAGCCGGTTGTCCTCGTTAATTACTTTGTATCCGGTTATCAGTTAACCGTATGTCTGTTTGTGCCTCAAACTTTTATTTGGGTTTCCAGTGTTCTATCCGTATTCGCCCTCTAAGGCATTGAGTATTTTGTACATCACGATCATGTCCCTTCTGCTTTTCTGGTCTGCCAAGGTACTCAAGTGTCTCCTCATAGGGTAGTTCTTTCAGCTCGGGAACTGTTCTTATCGCAAATGTCTTTGGGCTCCACGCTGGTGCTGCATACTCGAATGACTATTGTTAAGCTTGTAAAGGTTGGCCAGTCTTGCACATGCTGTTGAAGTTACTGGGCTGAGCTGCGTGTCTGGTGCTGTGATCTGTAACACATGTACCTCTGGATCCCTCACCTTGTTTTGTGCTTCACCTTTTTACTCCCAGGCGATAAATTTTCAGTGTTAAATCGTCTCTCTCCTTCTCTTGTACTCATAACTATGCACTTGCTGAGGTTGAAATCCAGCAGCCATTCACCTTGCCACTCCTGCAGTCTGTACAGACCCTCCTGGGTCCTCTGTCTACTCACGTTCATATACGTCTCACCATCTTTACATCGCTCACAAACAGTGATATATATGTCTCATTTACCTCTGACACATCATTTACATATATCATTTACATACATACAGCAGTACTGATACTTGTTGCTCTCCACTCGTCACGGTCCTCCAGTCACCTTTCATCCTTCTTCCTCCCATAACCATCACCCTTTTTCTTCTTTTCCTTAGTAATTCATTGATACAGTATTTTGGTTAATTAAGTTTAAAGCCTATTTGGCTGCATGGAGGTCATTATGGCTGCGTGTCATCGTGCTCCGCCAGTTGAGAATACATTAATCCTTAAAAGGGGCGATTAAAGCAAATCCTGTTACACAGACAGAGAGAGAGAGAGAGAGAGAGAGAGAGAGAGAGAGAGAGAGAGATCGTTCACTGTATACAAACTTTTGAATCCAGTGTCATCTGCACTCTCTGCTAACCCAGATTGTTTGCCTAAGTAACTGATGACTCGGTCGTTCACAGGACACCATCATCACAGCTGCACAAGTTGTTGAAACACCGCTGTGATTTCCTTCGTATCATTACATATTCATTCTCAAACCTCTTCTTCTTTTTATTGTCTCTGCTATCCCTTTTTTTTTCTCCGTGATTTTCTCCTAACATTGATCCCTATGTACGTTGAGTGTATATGGTAATAAGTCACCTTGTCTGATCCTTTTTGAGTTATTCTAGATAATTAACCTGTATAATAACTACTTATGTGTACCTGTGACTAAATAAACTTAGTAACTTGAGTTTAATTTGTCATGTTTCCGTTCATAATCAGATAAGTATCTGTGGGGGGAGGGGGAAGAATGTGGAAGGAAGGACGAAAGGGAAATCGAGAGGGGAAGAGGAGGTAGGATAAGAGAAACAGAGAAGAGAGATTTAGGTCAGGGAGAAAGTGAAACGCTGAAAGGGTGGGAGAAAGAGAGAGAGAGAGAGAGAGAGAGAGAGAGAGAGAGAGAGAGAGAGAGAGAGAGAGAGAGAGAGAGAGAGAGAGAGCGAGGGAAGGCTACCAGCTCTACACAATGGAGTATAACTAAGAGACGAATGAGAATGTCCACCATCCCTCTATCCCAGTGAATCATGAGTCACCAGCTGTCCATCAGCCTTCCGTCTCAGCGACTCATGAGTCACCAGCTGGCCACCAGGCATCATTGCCACACTTTAATCTTCATTGACTTAATTCTCCATTGACTTAAATCTGGATCTAGTCAACTTTCTGGCGTGGCCATGTTGCAAGGAGAGTCAGGCTAGTGAAGGAGTTCCTGCCCACATAATTAGTGTGTGTGTGTGTGTGTGTGTGTGTGTGTGTGTGTGTGTGTGTGTGTGTGTGTGTGTGTGTGTGTGTGTGTGTGTGTGTGTGTGTGTGTGTGAGTGTGTAAGGGACTCAAGAAAAATCAGTTTCAAGTTATTTTTGGAACGCGTCATCTAACACACGAGGGAGGTCCCAAGAGCTAGAACGAAACATAGAAACTCAGCTTGGCAATTAAATATAAATATACATATAGACACACAGACACACACAGACACAGACACACAGATGCACATACACACACACATACACACACACAGACACACACGCAGACACACAGTCACACAGACACAGACACACACAGACACACAGACACACACACACAAACACACACACACACACACACACACACACACACACACACACACACACACACACACAATCCTAAACACAGATTTGTTTAATAACAGATTTCTAGGTAATACATTGTATTAATCTTTGCAAACACCTTGTAATTACCTTCTGGACCCAGTGTAATAATCTATTCCCTTTTTTCTCCAACAGAGTCTATACAATATGCTGGGAGAGGCGTTCTTCAAGCTTGAGAACTTGGAGGAAGCTGAGCGGTGGTACCTGCAGGCGCTGAGGGTAAAGTCAGACCACGTGCCTGCCCACCTCACCTACGGGAAGCTCCTGGCGAAGATGGTGAGTCAGTAGCTTTGGCCGCAGGCTGTTTTCATGGCTTGCTGGGTGTATTCGTTGCTTGGTTAGTCAACAATTAATCTGGAGGTCTTACTGGTGGATTCACTGTTTAGTTGTTTAGTGATAAATTTGATCAACCGCATGGTTGGTTGAATAGTTGGTTCTTGTTTTGCCATTATCAATTAGTTGCTTGGTTACCTGTTTGATATCTTAGGACTACCGGGAGATACCTGAGCCAGGTATCCGTTTAGTCCTCGGAGTAAGGTTGAAGTATTTCTGTTTTTTTTTTCTCTCTCTGATTGTCCGGTTAATTCGACTGTCAGCTTGTCTGTGAATTATTATCTTATGCTTTTCTGTGTGATGAATGGTTTTGAAAACCGACAAGTTGAAGAATTGAGACACTTATGCAACACATGGGAATCTTTATAGAAGAAACGTTTCGCCACACAGTGGCTTCATCAGTCCAATACAAAGTAGAAGTGGGTAAGGAGAGTAGAAGTGGACTGATGAAGTCACTGTGTGGCGAAACGTTTCTTCTATAAAGATTCCCATGTGTTGCATAGGTGTCTCAATTCTTCAACTTGTCGGTTTTCAAAACCATTCATCACATCTGTCAGACACTGCAACATCATAGGATCTTGGTACAAAGACTTCAACGCTTGCCCAACCTTTGGACGACGACCTACTTACACTAGTGGCAGGTCCCACTGTGATCCCGCCTCCTCCTGCTTCAACTCATCTCACCGCAGTATATAAGCCACCTCTCTGGCCCTGTGCTGCACTTCCTACAAGAGTGATGGACTGAACACATCGATTCCAGGTTGAGGGACTGATTACCTCAAACTTCTACTCTCCTTACCCACTTCTACTTTGTATTGGACTGATGAAGCCACTGTGTGGCGAAACGTTTCTTCTATAAAGATTCCCATGTGTTGCATAAGTGTATTATGTTTTTCTCTTTGACTATTTCTCTGTCGTTTATCCCACCTCTTTGTCAATTATCCTTCATGTCTCTCTCTTCCTATTAATCTGTCTGCTAATTATCCCTTCTATCTTGCTATCAGTTTGTTTCTCCGTCGGCTGGTTTACCTGTCTGCCGTCTGTCTGTTGTTTTCAAGAATACTGATTCCAAGGTAAAACAAGTGACAGACAAACTTTTATTTCCTCGATTCATTAGTTACATTGTTCTTACTATTTAACTAGCTATATTAATTGTTCCATGTTTATTTACTTGTCTTTAGAACCTTTCCAGCACTGTTCCTTTTGCAAATAAACAGAGAACCGCATACGGCAACATCAGTCAGTTGCCACCACAATGTCTTTTATCTTCTGATTGTATCAATGTCTCCTAATGATTGCGATCGCTGAGCTGTTATCTTGATCACTCAAACGTTTTAAGTAGTGCCACTTGGAAACGTTTTTGATTATTGCTGAGGCTAATTATTAAACGTGCGTTAATAAGCAGCTGGTCAACCAGGTACAGAATAATCAATTGATTAATTATTTGTGGAAGGGGAACTCATTGGTCAATCACCTGCATACTGATCAATAATAGATCGGTTACTTGTGGGTTACTCGCCGATTAGCTAATTGCCAATGTGGATTAATCTCTACTTAACTAGTTACTTGAGTGTAGATCAGGGGCTGACCAGTCACCTGTGGATCAGTCATGAAATGATCCTTTAATATTGGATCTAGTTTGAATTGATAATCCACTAGCGGATCAGTTACACTCTAAGAAATCCCCCGAGTTCATTCCCGAAGTCATCGGTTTCCCTCTGATTAGTTGGACTAAACTCACTAAACAACTTCCGCTGGATTCGTTACTGGAAATCACTTTACCGAGTGCAGGACTCCGGGTAAACCTTGTTTTCGAAAACTCCAAGTATCTGGAGTCTGAAAAGGCTTCGGAAAAGCCCCCTCTTCCTCTTTTTTTTGGTAGTTGTTGGAATTATTTTTCACCTTTAAAATTGTAGAAAACTCTTGGCTTATTATAATCATAGCTAAGCTCTAAACCCACAAGGATTTAGCGCTTAGGATCATTTTATAAAGAACTTCTGGTATAGTCGAGACACTGAGAAACTGTAAAGGATATATTTTTTAAATATACAAAAAAAAAATATTGCAAACACGGTCTTAAAATTAGTTGTAGGACCAAGAAATTTTTTTCCTGGGGAAAGGTTTTACTGGGGTTTCTAAAACAATTGATAAACCCCCGAAGAAGCCTCATAATGAGTCAAGAAACCTCAACTTTAAAACTTTTTTAAGATGCCGCTAATGGCTCCAAAATGCTGTAGAAAATTATATACGCTTTTCAATAAATTAGAAATCATGAATAGCCGAAAAAAATAGGATTTCCATGAGGAAATTATACAGCATCCAAACATCTTCATATCAGTTCCTCAGGAAATACAAAGGTCGTGTGTTATGCTGCTGTTGGCAGCATAACACACGAGCTGTGTGGCAAGAACACCAGTGGAACACAACAGAAGTGGCGGTAACTCAGTACATTTGAAGGGGGTAAAAAACAAGTGTAACACAAGTGGCAGAACACAAGAGGCGGAACACAACACAACAGAAACACAACTACATTGGCGACTCACCTCTCTTGAGAATCCCTGAATCAAGGCTTTAAATTGGGTTTTCTTGTAGATCTTTATCCCTGGTCGGAGACACAGGTCCTTATCCCAGCCTGCCGACACTCCTACTCCTTCTGTCCCGTCATATCAACATGCACCCCCTTCCCCCTCCTAGGAAGCTCTTCTGGTATCTTACTCTAAGGATGTTCCTGTATGGGTTTTTACACTACCATAAAAGAGCTCCTTGGGTGCCATGCCATAAGGGTTAAGTTGAATCTCAGTCTCGATGTTAGAATAACAAAGAATCCTTCAGACTCGCTCTTACCCAGGCAATTTGTGTACTCAGGCTTTTAAATCAGTCATTGAGATTTTGAGAGTCCTCTTAGTCTGGGTATACCAACTTAGGTTCGGTTATACTGGATAAACATCAATTATCCTATATTCACCAACAGTTAACCACTAATAACGAAATACCAGAGGAGGGCGATTCAGTCTGCTACTGCTGACATAATGTTATGGCAGTTCCTTAGAATGTTATTATTCTAACTGCAGGACGGGCTGGTTACAGAGATGATAAATGAACTACTTGGAGTCTACCTGGAGGTCGTTCCGAGCTCGTAGAATATTTTGATTAACTTTTAGGAACTCTACGTCGTCCTACCTCAGGGCTCAACAAGACATAAGCACGCTGAATAAAGACACTTGACTTGTTTTCATAGAATTCTTCAAATATTCTATTATAAAAGAAACATCGCAATAGAGTATTCAAGAAGATAATCATAGAAGGGGATCCAAAGTGTATCTTACCTGGGGTGTTAAGTAATGACTAACAGGGCTGCTGCTTTGCAGGATTCATGGAGGTGGTTCTTGAAGGACTGAAGCAAGAACCCGAGAGAGAAAAAAGGGCAAGAGGGAGGGAGAGAGAGAGAGAGAGAGAGAGAGAGAGAGAGAGAGAGAGAGAGAGAGAGAGAGAGAGAGAGAGAGAGAGAGAGAGAGAGAGAGAGAGATGCAGTGGTAAAGAGATTAGCTTAGATAAGAGTCACATTAGCTTGTTCGATTGCGGTTGATATTCACACCGTTGCTTTAGCAAATAATAAAAACATTCAGTTACGGTAGGTTGGTCTCGCGCGGGTGCGCGCAGGTGCGCGCGGGTGCGCCTGAGTGTGCGTGTGTGAGTGTGCGTGTGAGTGTGGATGTGTGTACGAGTGTGTACTTGTATGTACTTACCTAGTTGTGCTTGTAGTAGTCGTGTCGATGCTCCAAGCTCCGCCCTTTACCTCTTAGTCACCGGCTTAATTGATTTCTTGCCTCTAAAGCCAAGTCGTACCTTATCTTGAAATGAAGTATGGTATTTGCACTCCCTAACTCACCCTGTGGCTCATCTTCCTTATCTGACATAAATGCCCCCTGGCTCACTCTCCATTTCATCTTAAACATTATCTGTTATCAGAGCATTTCGTATGTCAGGGTCATGTCTCTCTGGTCGTCCTCTCCTCTAGTGCTGTTAAGATTTTAAGTTTTTCTTTCTACTGATTTTCCCAAGTTTCCTCTGAAAATGTTCTTTCAAGTTTTTGGATTCTCTCCAGTTTTACCCCCCGTGAGTTCTGTGTGAGCTCCGTGTGAGTTACCAAAGTGAGTTCGCAAAATTTTGAACCTCCTGACGTCCCGTTCACGACCTCCATCTGGCTTTATGATATATCAGAGCACCCCTTAACCCCCTCTAGTACCCTTGATAAATACAACACTCGTGCAACATTTGGGTATCTTTATTCCAGAGGAAACATACCCAAATGTTGCAAAGGTGTTTCCCATGTATCAACCTCTCGGTTTTTTTCTAAAACCGTTTATTCCACCTCTTCTTAGCTCTCCTCAGTGCATCTGAAGTAATCCATCTCCCATCTCTATCTTCCCTCTCGCAGCAGCGTCTGGGGGAAGCTGAAGAGTGGTTCCAGCGAGCTAAATCCCTCGCCCCCAACGACTCCACTGTACATCAACACTTCGGTAAGTGAACAATAAAATGGTATAAAATACCAACAGGTTGTTTAGGTAAGACACATATGCAACAGTTAGGTATCTTTATTTTGAAACGTTTCACCTACACAGTAGGCTTCTTCAGTCGAGTACAGCAAAGTTGATAGAAGCAGAAGAGACTTGAAGACGATTACATCATCTTCAAGTCTCTTCTGCTTCTATCAACTTTCTGTACTCGACTGAAGAAGCCTACTGTGTAGGCGAAACGTTTCGAAATAAAGATACCTAACTGTTGCATATGTGTCTTACTTC